CGTAAAACATCTCTGTTCAATGGTTGCCTCAACAGACGGGCATTATTCGCATCAGTAAAGACGATTCCAAATCGCTAGAAGAGGGGCGGGTCTCACGGTCGAAGAGGGACCGTACTCTGCAGAAGTATGCGCGCACAGAAAGGACATTTAGCGCACAGTCACAATCGGTGGCTGAAAAAAAGACCAGAGGAAAAGCCCAGTGGCTATAATATAATAATTAATATCGCATACATGAATAAACGCAAATAACTAGGAATATTAAATTAAACCCTTATAAAATATAACACCTCCACGCCCCCCCCCCTCTCTCCCTCTCCCTCCCCCTCTCTCTCTCTCTCTCTCTCTCTCTCTCTCTCTCTCTCTCTCTCTCTCTCTCTCTCTCTCTCTCTCACACACACACACACATACACACACAAACACACATGCACGCACGCGCCCGCGCACACACATTCCCACCAAACATTCACACACACAAAGTAATATTTTTTGCTGTTGAAAAAGTCAAAAGGCTTCTCCTGAAAGTGCAAAAATACAAAAGAACAAGAATAGTAAGAACAAGACAGAGAGAACGGGAGAGAGGGGGGGGGGTGGGGGGGGAGAAAGAGAAAAATGGAGAGGGGGTGGAGGGGAGAGGGGGGGGAGAGACATGGGCACGGCGTTGAATTATCGCACATATCAACAACAGACTAAACTTCACACTTGCAACTGGAACTTTTGGCACATTCACAAAACGTTGGAAGTTTTTGTATGCGTTTTACGGCACTTGAGACACGTCATTTAAGCGCCGAAGATCAGAGGTGTTATGAGACAGTAACACACTAATAATAAAAGAAGGGAGAAAGATGACGAAGACAGATGTTTGAGTGAGGAGGAGCAAACCACATCGGTGCACCCGCCAACCACCTAGTGTATAGACTGTCGGCCAATACATACAATGACAAAGAAAGGTTATACACACGGCTAGAGCTATTAAAAAACATTCCGCAGTTTTCAACAAGCGTAGACATCTACATACAAACACACGCATGTGAAGCAATGCGCGCTGCTTGTGTTTGTCTTTCTTCATTGGCAGACAGCGTAAACTGATGACGCTCAAAGTCGAGACATTTCGAAGCACACTACCTTCATTAAATAATATATCGCCCCAAGTGTGAGCACCGGTTTAACCCTAGACGAACATTAGTTCGTCGATACATCTGAAACATATATGATATATTATCATTTAGAAGCATTTTAAGTTATTCCACATAACATCTCCTTTCAAATTAATTAAATGTTTCTACACAATCTGTCCTAGTTGTTGACCAGGTAACTCTCTCTCTCTCTCTCTCTCTCTCTCTCTCTCTCTCTCTCTCTCTCTCTCTCTCTCTCTCTCTCTCTCTCTCTCTCTCTCTCTCTCTCTCTCTCTCTCTCTCTCTCTCTCTTACACACACACACACACACACACACACACACACACACACACACACACACACACACACACACTTAGATCTACATCACACACAAATAAATAAACACACACGGGGGCACACACACTATACGGGTGCTGAGAGTGCTGACTGCTGACTATGGGTGTTTTTATCCTCACTGGATATATCCGCCTGCGTGTTTGTTGTGAGCGTTGTTAATTTCGGTGCAGGCGAGTGAGAGCTCGCAAGAACTCTTCCGGTCATCGACGAGTTCTGATACACAGACACACACGCACACACACACACACACACACACACACACACACACACACACACACACACACACACACACACACAAATAATAATCGATGGCAGAGGCGGAGAGGAGTACGGTCGAGCCACTCGACACGTTTGGTTAAGTTAGTTTGAGAATATCATTCTCTTTCGTCTACACTGTCAACCCAATCACTGGCGCTGCCTTCAACGTGAGATGTGTAAAGCAGAAAGTGCGAAAAGCCGATTTCTTACCGAAAGGTGTGGGGAAGAGGGGGTGGGGGGTGTGCCATGTCAGATTGACTGTATGATTTCTAAATGTTCTGTCGGCACTGAGGGTCCCCCAAAAGTTGCATGTGTGTAACGTTTCTGTTTATTCTGTAAATGTGCGACCGATGTAAAAGTTCTCCTGCGCATTGGACATAAGGGGTAGTGGCGCTTTTATATCGACCTGATTTCACAAGATGTACTGAGGGATTTTTATTTATCTGTGTCGGGGAGAGTGGTGGAGAAGAAACGAGGAAAACGGGAGAGTGAACACGCGCGTGTGTCCGTGTGCGTGCGAAAGAGAGAGAGAGAGAGAGAGAGAGAGAGAGAGAGAGAGAGAGAGAGAGAGAAAGAGAGAGAGAGAGAGAGAGAGAGAGAGAGAGAGAGAGAGAGAGAGAGATGGAGACAAAGACAGAGAGAGTACAGAAGTTACTACTCAGATTTTACCAATTATTATTATTATAACACGACGTGTTATGAAAGCCGGAAACAGACAGAAAAATATATAATTCCTCCCTAGAACAGACCTATATAATATGAAAGGAAAAAACGTATCAATTGTCTGTTTGTGTTTTGTTTTGAGTTTGTTTGTTTTATGCAATTCTTTACGAAAAGCGCCCGATTTACAGTTATTAGGGATGAATATTCTAAATCTTTATGGCAACACTTAGTGACATATGAAAAGCAGACGATCAAATCAGTCCATCGATGCGATCAAACACGCGTGCGTGGAGCAAGGAGGCTGATAGGCATGCGAACGGAGAAAGTGGAACAGTTCGGTCCGAATGACAGATGTGTATCGTTTTGAATAATTCACCGAACCGAAAGACGCACGCATCCCTCTTGTCCCCCACTGTACGTAGCTCTCTATCAACGCAGTTACAATGGTCTTGTTCTTGTTTAAGCTAGACACACCATATGTCACATGTGGTGTCTATATATAATACTGTAAATCATAGCCCGGTATGTAAAATAAGAAGTGGAAATTCGCTCTCGCGCAGCCGTAGTCCGGGAACCCTCGGTGGTCGAGTGGTTAGAGAACACAGGCTCATTAAAAAAAAAATTTTTAAAGAACGCCAGGCAGTGACGGTGCGGGGAGCTTTTTCACGAGTGGCAACAGCGATCATGTGTCACTGAGCGGTCGGCGAACGGCGACAGCTAACTAAAGTTTGAAACGTTTTGGGGTGCTTTTTTTTTTTTTAACTGTCATACACCGCACACATGACGGTAAACCAAAATCAATAGATGGGGACCAAATAACAAAGGGGTGTTTCTTTTCTGTACTTAGGTTTCAGAACCAACACATCAAAAGAGCAAACGAAAGACCGGTTATGGTGGTAATCTTCAACTTCAGCGTCAAGAAACTTGAGTCGAACTGCCGGTGATCGTGCAGATAGATGTGATCACAAACACGATTAACAAACTGATTATCCCCCCCCCCCCCTATTATCTTCACTTCCGAAATGTCCCAAGCGCGGAGATAATAGAAGGAAGCAATATCTGGAGAGGCCTCTCTACAAATCTAAGACTTAATCAAAACGTGATGTCACCATAGCTGATATCAATATCTACCTGAGGTCATAACATGGTGTACACATCTAACGCCAAATTCGGACACAATTATGAAGAAAGGGCTATCAGTGGACCTGAAGTTGTGATGTCAGCGAGTCAATATATGTATAAATTTTTGCAACGAACAATTTAACTTTGGTAACACGCTGAACCGTCAACATACTCTTCCAGAATCAGGAAAATAAAAATAACAGTTCAGTCACAGCATGGAAAACTTTTTCTGACAGTACCTCAGTATTTTACATTGCTTTATAGTTTTAATGGCCTTCAAGGTACCCACCTGTGTTGCAAATGCCGTAAAACTATTGCAAAACGTTGATATTAAAAGAGAAAAAAACAAAAACAAAACAAAGACCAGATAAAAATTTGATGGTCATTAATCTATTAGTATGAGCAGTCAACTGGTACAAGCAGAAAGATGACTGGTCTATCACACTAAAATTGAATAAAATGTAATCAATTTATATATTTAAATAAGAAGATGTGTAATTTAAGCATAACAAGAAAAGACAAGAAAAATAAAGAAGATAACAATATATACATGCAGTCGAACCTGCTCTAAGGCTGATGGCCACTTGTATATTATAGACAATCACCTTTACAAATAACCACTTCCCATTTTTCCCTCTTGCCCTTTTTACATTATAATGACATGACTGTGTAATACACCTATCTGTCTAAAAAAAAGGCCATTTTTTATCTCAACAATGGGTGCCTGTCTTAGACAATTTCGACTGTACATGAACGTATGTACTATAATCTATTCTTTAAAAACACAATAAAAACCCACAAGCAACAGTGGAAAATATATGCAACATTCTCTTTTGTTTTGTTTTTGTAAAGTGTTTTACGGCACTCGCAACTGCATACGGTCATATGAGCACACGGGGCACACCTATTATTTTCAGTTGGTAGGAAATTTTGAATTTTGCCCGGATGGCGGCCGAAGCCTACTCTTATCAAGTTTAGACCACCAAGGGATTTTTAACGTGCGCAACTTGCACACGGCCCTCCGAGATTTTTCGCCCTTGTCCGGGAAGGCTAGGTGAAGATCTTTCCTACCAGAAGATCAGGGGTGTGGCTGAAAGATATCAGTAAGAAGAAGCGAAGGAGTAGCAGTAGAGAGGCTGCAGAAAGAATCAGGAGCCCAGAGGAAGGGGCAAAGGAGGTGAGGGGGAGGGGGCAGAAAGAGGAGATAAAAGCAGACTACAGAACATTGCTAGAGAGCAGGAAATGAGGTGAAAGGAGACAAATTTAGAGCAGAAAATTTTTCGGTCGCTACCCGCTAACCCGGGACCTTTTAAATGAGAGGCCAACACCTTAACCTCTAGGCCACGAGAGCCCCAACATTCTCTGCAGTAAGTGCATAAGCATATAAGTAAGAGAATGAAAGAGTTGGTAATGTAAGTCTGTTTTAAAATAGTTGTTGACATTATTCACTGGTTACTCAAGACAAAGTTAAACGCTCTTCAAGCTTACCCTTTCCATTTCAACGAAGTCATCATCCAGCTCTGTTCCTTTGGCACCTCCAATCTTTTCACTCATGTACTGGGAGAAACAGAAGAAATAGGAAAAAGAATATTTGTATGTCGACTTTAATTTAAAAAATAATAGTAATAACAATTGCATTTATACAGCGCATGACTACTTTGCTCTCAAGCATGCTTTATGTACTTTACAACTATCCCAGCATACCCTAGAACACCCAGAAACATTCTCAGTTTCCCAGGAAGCATACAGCCGATTAAACACTCAAAGACCAACAAACTGACAAAATCTCTCCCTGTCAACAGTCGGATACCCATTCCCACTTGGATGAAGTGAGGAATATTCCCTTATAAAGTACCTTTCCTAAGGACGCAACATCAGGCCCTATCAGGGTTCCAACCCATAACCTTTCATTTATGAACCTGACCGTCTAACCACTGGACCACTGACTAAGTGTGTATATTTCACTTCATTTTCATCTAAGTAATGATCTTTAGGGAGTTGAAAAAAAAGCAAAAGTGAGAAAAGACCCTGGTGCAAAGTCTAAACAAGCATCAAAGAGTTCTGGGTTAAAAGTTTGATTAATATATTACATAATGATCTACCAATGTTTCTGCAAATTGTTCTTACTTTCATTCTAATATTACATTATCAATGAACTCACCAATGAAGTTGTCAGTGCAACTTTGTGACATGCTGACAAAAAAATAACTGACATTAACAAAAAGATAAATGAATGACAACATTTAGCTTGGAGAGAGAAAGGGTGGAGAGGCAAACCTTAAAAACAGAAAACTGTCATACTGGTTTTTCTGACATTTCAAAATAATACATCAAAAGATTTTGAAAGAATGATAAAATATTAATACATCAGCTTTTGAATCATTTTGAAAAATGCAGCGGACACTGTCATTTCACACAACAATTGATTCTCATCACTACACCATACCAGGATGCACATGTTTAGTGCCAGTCTACTGCGATAATGCATTCTACATAAATCCCGTTTGATCGACCATGGTCTCCCTCTCTCAATAAAGCTTTTTACCTTTACAAGTCCCTCTTGATTGTCCACAATCACCTCTTGATTGTCCACAATCAGAGGGGCAAGCACAAACACCCCCTCCCCACATACAAAAACACACTTTTCAAGACTAAAGTATTCTTTGTGCACCCAATGCAGTCACATGTTAAACGCAGAGGTAAAATGTTTGGAATCATGTAGAAGGCTAGAAAACTGAATTCGTCCAGTAGACCAGAAACATCTTGATACAGTAGTCTCCGCCTAAGCGCACAGTGCTCGGGAAGGCCCCTTAGCGTGTGTTTATATACAGCGTGCGTTCACATGAACCTGTGCAAAGGGAGGAAGAGAGACGCAATCATCTCATTGCCTTGATATTTTAGTGACCTCCCTTGGGGGTGACGGGTCATTTTGCCCAATTATGTGATGGCATGTGACTGTTTTGTGAAGTATTCCCCAACTGCAGTTATGAATTATGAATACAAAAGTGTTGAATGGGGGGGGCACGCAGAAAAACAGACTCGCTGTACTGATATGCACTATAAAATGTCGGGAACAGATAAGAGGAAACTGTTCATGATAGATCTAGTGATAGGGAAACGCTCTCAGCCACACGGCTTTCCAATTCCAAGCGACCAATCCCGACTGCCTGATATCTATTTCAACTCGGTAAATGCATCGATGACATCAATTTTTTCTCTTATGATTTGTTCGACAAGTACGGAAGTTCTTGGAGCGCAGTTGATTACTTTACTAATCTTTAATAAGAGGTCTATCTATCTAGGGTTTTACAGCATTCACGAATGTTGCGCATTATAGGTGTAACTAAACATTACATATGCTGTCATTCAAACACCAGTCAGAAACCTCTCAATGACGCATTTCGAGTGTCCAATCAGAAGACATTTCAGTCCCCCCTCCCCTTCCCAACATATCACCTGACCCGACCAGTCCAAGACCAAGACCTACGTGTCCGTGAAAAGCTGGGAGTGAAAACTGTCCATCCCTCTCTTTGTTCTGCGCGAGGGTCAGTCTCGCCAAATGTATTGCCGGTAGTCTAGGCTTGGCTTTAAATGCAAGCTGTATAGGCTGTGGCGAAAATTTCCCCTTGTCAAACTTTGCCGGTCAGCTTGTTTCGTGGATTGAAGCGTGCGTATAGAAGAAGTTACGTCTAAATTATATATAGTAGTAAAAAAACTCGTCAAATGACGAAAGCCTGCGTAAGAGCGGAGCGTGCCTTTGTATGGCGTGCGTTTCTAAGGCAGAGACTAAAGACCGTAAAGTGGACTGGCACCCAATTTTTCATTGCATGAGATGAAACATTTCCCCCATAGTAGAACTCCCCCGACCTATAAATTTTAATGTTATCATATTGTGTAAATTTAAGTTTTCTTCTCAGAGCACGTTCTAACCAAGCATGACCACCAAAACGTTAAATTTTTTACTCAATCCATGCTGGACATTGCCTTGAAGCACAGGGAGAAAACTAACAATCTATCCAGACATGCAAATAGGATTTTATTAATTCAAACTTTAACTCACTGCAGCCTATTTACGGGATAGCCCGCTGGCCTTATCTCATGTATTTACAGGATTATAATAATAATAATCATAATAGATAGCATTTGTAAGTGCAAATTCCCGCTCAACAGCAAGCTCTCTATGCGCTTCACAATCTATACTATTACCCCAGCAGACCTGAAAGCATTCTGAAACAACATCAACTTCCTGAGAAGAGAAGCATACAGTGCAAGCAGCCATTTATAGGCGCGCTAAAACACTAAAATACTGACAAGATCCTTCGCTGTCTGTGGCCAGGTACCCATTCCCATCTGGGTGAAGTGAGGGAAATTTGTGTAAAGTGCCTTTCTCAAGGATACAACGTCGGGCTGCGGCTTGAACCCCCGAACCCGCAACCTCACAATTACGAATCTGGTAGCCTAACCACTAAGCCACCGACGCTACGGGATGTGCTTTATCAATCAATATCTTCGGTGTTTTACGGAAGCTACGGGAAGATGCGAGCCAACAATTGACCCATTTGTTTCGTTTCGTTAAAAATATGGTGAGTGAAGTTAAAGTGGGATACTTTGTGAGCAGTAACGGGTTAAGTCAGTCACCCCCTGAATTGCGATAGAAGATGATTTTATTATAAATTGGTCACACAAAATATTGCATAACCCCCAGACATTGCCATTTCGACATTTTGACAAACTAAAATAAATGAAAAACATTCAGACAAATTAGATGCAGTTTTCTTTTTCTGTAAGAGCATTTCTTTCTCTTGTTGTACTTCTTTAACTCTTTTCCTACCAGGCCGAAATCCACCAATGGCCCAGGGCTTTTCCCTGACCAATTTTTACGCCCCTACCCTGCCAAAGGAAAATGTCAAAACATCCAACTAAACACACACAAATCATATCTTATGGCACATGAAACTGAAGGTTAAAAAATAATCTATCAGATGGCGATATAATATTGAAAATTTATTCTAGTTGTATTACTTTGGGGTTTCTAAAAAGTGATTATGCAACATCGAAGGTGTCATGGAATCTAAAAAAGTACAACAACAGCATCATTCAAACTTCCCAGGTAGGTTGCCTTTCAAGTAATGCGAAGAAATGTTGAAAGTTATGCACTAAAAGAGAAGTGAAAATATGAGAGAGATATATATATATACTGAAGTCAGGGGAGCGCTTTTTTTTCTCATTTTTACGTTTTGAAAGGGAAAAAAAAAAGCGTTGAAATGACTAAAAATCGTCTGTCAGTTCAATATTTTCTTTCGTACCTGCTAAGAGGAAGTCTATATTCTATTGTTTTGAAAATGTGGATCGGTCGAGAATTTTGTGTCTTTGCATTACTGGATTGGAATAGATAGTGATAGTGAGCCACTCAAGCCGTATTTTGAGGCTCTCGGTCCAGCGAGGCCAGGTCCGTGAGCCACGCGGCTCGTGGTAGGGAAAGTGTTAAATTATGATAGCTTTCAGTCTTTTAGTTGTTAATGCTTCAATATATCCCAATAGTGTCTTTCTGCAATGGTTGTTGGGTTAAAATAACTAGGACTCAGGTGAGTTAAAATAAAAAGTCTGGATTTAATACAAAGGGACTGTTTACCATCATGTAATAATTTATCCAACTGGTAAATTTTTACTATCACTCCCACACATAGATGCCATACTTTTCGGGGCTAAATCTACTTATTTCTCTGGCTGCTCAAACACATATGTGTCTACTAAAACCGTCACAACACAAAACCTTTAATTTGGGGGAAAATACCTAGCGCAATCCTCTCTGAATCGAACCCCCACCCAGATCTCTTTTAACTTACAGGACATGCCCCCTTGAAACCCCCAAGATTTTTTAAAGTAAAGCATGCAAAAATTTAATCTACGCAATTATGCCTTCAAATTTAAAAATACTAATATATCTCAAAAAGAAATAATTTGCAATGGATCTAAAGTCTAAATTTGCGTTAAACAGATAAAAATTATCAGAATACCTGACCATGAAAAGGGAGTGAAAGCAAAACAAATTTATCCATTCAACAGAATGGTATAGACTAGAGAGACTGTGCCGGCCGACCAACAACACATGAAAGAGGGGATTTTTATGCAGAGTACACATGAAGCTACAGCGAGCCCCAAGCACACCTTTGTGATTGGCCCAAATATATAGACTTATTTCTGCCATCTATTTTTGTCGTCTTCCGGGGTGTCCCCCAAGACTCTTGGGTTTCCCTCACCAGTTGACTAGATCTTGCTGTGTTTGTTTTTTGTATCAATGTCTGTTATCTTTTTTATAAAACAATATCTCAGCAATTCTCGTTCCACGAATTTACCTTTTCCAAGGTGCTCCCTGTAGCTTCATGTGAGATACACATGCCTAACCCTAACCATAACCCTAACCCAACCCCTAACCCTAACACTTATCCATACCTAATCCTAACCCTATCCCTTACCCATGTACAGGTTGTTCAGTGGAACTTGTCACGGTAAGTATCTGCCCTCTGCGGAACTCCTCCCGGCCTTGATCTGGAAATGCTCCGGATCTATTCTCCTTGAGCTTCTGTGCTATATATTTAGGGAGTCGTGTATACAGACCCGGTAACCGGGAACAAAGTCACAAAGTATACAGACCCGGTAGGGGAATTCTTTTGTGATTTCGGAAAGTTTCAACGCCCTCTTGGCTCAGGGTAGACCCAGGTTCTTCTTCTATGGCTTAGGTCTAGAATTAGACAGACAGACATAAATCATTGATCTAGTTTCGAGGCTAGCCTACATCTAGATCTAAATGAAGATTGCCGATGTCTTTCCGATGAACGATCGTTTTTCCTCTGTTTGGGAGTTGGAGGAATCACACTTTGAAGAAAAGAACAATGTCATCATAATTTCAATCGAGCAGTCACCCTGCTCTCTATTTCTCTCTCTCTCTCTCTCTCTCTCTCTCTCTCTCTCTCTCTCTCTCTCTCTCTCCCCTCTGTCTCTGTGTACCTATTTCCCACTCTATCTTTCTCCCGTTCCCTCCTGCCAACTGGGGTATAATGTCATACATTTTGATAGCATAGATATAGCACTTCCCCCTGCTCTCTCTCTCACACACACACACCCATACTACCGGGTCTGGGTGCTGAGACTTTCCGAAAATCACAAAAGAGTTCCCCTACCAGGCCTGTATACTTCGTGACTTAGTTTCCGGTTACCGGGTCTGTATACACTTCGAATATTTAAGACTAGCTGTACTGTAAATTAAACCTAGACTCTAGACTAGAGGTCTAGTCTAGTGGATGATATTTCATTTTTAAACAATAAAACAACACTACTCTTCCAAGTCTTCATTGTGGAAGTGATTTCTTCTTCAAAAAGCAAGGCAAGGCCTACACTCCTACTACTCCAAAACTACCAGACTAACCATCATTCATAAAACATACACAGTACGTACACACATATATAAGCCATTTTATATAAGTTGCAATGTTTCTAATTTGTTGGCGGCCTCCTAAATTTACCCTTTTTTTCTCTCAACAAGTAACTTCACTACTTACTAGATCTAAATCTAGATCTAGATCAAAATCTAGATTAGATCTAGAATCTAATAACTTGTACTACTGCTCTATAATGACACTATGACTATGAAACTTCATTCAGCACCTGACTTCAAACCTCCGCCTGTGGTCCAAGAAAAAGAACTGTGGAAAAGAAACTGCACTGATTCATCACACTGTAACCTGTGATTTCTCTATGTGGCAATCCACCCTCCTCAACCTCACCCTTGTCCCCTAGATTTCTACTCCAGATGGAATCGTCGATCTTGGCTTTTAGAAGCAAGAGAAGAATTCCTCCTAGACCTCTAGTCCAGGCCTAGACCTAGAAGATACTGGAACCAGGAGGATCCAACGATAAAAAGAACAAACCATGTAACAATTCAGTAGTTAGTTGAAATTGAAAGGCTATCCTCAGGCCTATAGATTAGATCTAGATTCTAGATCTAAATAGATCTAGATCTAGACTAGATCTATAATCTAGATCTAGATATCTAGAGATCTGGGCTTGCTACTGCTGCTGCTCTTCTCAGATCTTGTCTTATAAAATTTATCTCACTATTGACACACTCACTATTGAAAAACTGTTTAATAGGTTACTGTTTACCTGATTCGCTTTGTTAAATTGTTTCTTTAATCCTGCGAACGACATTGTTGATGTATCCACCAAAGAGGAATCGAATAATCAAAACAATAGTAAATCTAACATCAACAGAATTGATTCACACACTCTTGCCAGCCCCACTGCCAGTGGCCTGAGTCTGCTGTGTTGTGCTTCTCTTCCGACAAGATTTTCTCTCTCTCGGCTAGGCTATTTCACTCTCTTCACTCTTCACACTAATTGGTGACGTCACATTCATGAATGATAGTTCCGCGGAGAATGTATTCCGGTCAAATTAATATTGTCCTACCAGAAAAAAAATCTGATCAGATTCTTAGCCTTGAGCTTCACACCGCCTAGTAATATTAGGATCAGTTATAAGAACTTATGAAAAGCTGTACGTGATGTGTTTGTGACAACATTCAGTAGGCCTGATCAAATGTAGACACTCAAATTACTATTAGAAGCCACAGATCCTATGGTGCTAAAAATTAAAACAGAAAGCTTTATTGTTCCCTTTACATAATTTTCTCTTCAATTTTATTCACACTTGAGTCCTGTTATGAATTATCAGGATGTTATATCACTACATTCTCACCATAGACATATGAAGGCTACACGTATTAAAATTTACTCTGCCCTTCCGTTAGGGCGTTATTTTTTAAAGCCATAGTGTAATAATATGTATGTAGGCTGAGCGTTTATCAGAGAGAGAACCTTCTTAGAATGAATAAATCATAGCCTATAATAGGCCTTTGAGTCGTGTAGAGGTGAATCTCGCATCAGATCTTACAACGAAGACCTAAAAGCGTCTATCTGAGGAACTCAAAACAGGATAAATAAGGAAAACGACAAGGAAAAGAGCGTCCAAGAACAGTTGAAACTCTAGCCTTGGTTATTATAGCATAGGGCCTATATACTGACTGGAGAAAAAACGCGCATTTCGGAGGCACAGACAAACCTGACGTGAGTGAGAGTGGAATAATAATATTATGTAAAGTTTCAGTATTCAAACGGGGATATTTGATTAAAAACAAATAAACAAACAAATTATACAAAAAAACTTCACACTCAAAAATCGAACTCACTTCTTCTGCACACAAATGCACAGCCAAATTACTACAGTTTGTAATGCCACAGACACCATATATTAATCCTAATTTCTCACCCTTTAAAATGATCAAAACGAAAGTTGGGAAAATGACCCATTTACAGTTCATACCGTTCATTAAAAATGTTTTTGTTTTTTTTATCTCGACTCACTAATCAGACAGGCGGGGGTGTATCTTTAGGTGGGAAATATGACATTATATCATATCATTTTTTAGGAGGGTAAAGCTTTTCTCTTCTTAAAAAAAATTAAAGTGGAATTGACAAACGTAGCCTTCAGATACGTAACCTATAGCAATGTCAGCAGTAGAACCTCCCCCCC